AGTGGATGCCTTTATATTCATGGCAACTTTTAATGAAACTGACAAAAAGCATATCAATAACTTTAGCTTAAGAAATCTCAGATAATTGATTCAGCTGTATTTCCTGAATCTGTCCATAATAGTGTAATTATAGAATCAGTGAATGAAAGATGCAAGGATTCATTTCACTGCAGCCAAATTAGAATGAAAATCAAAGAAGTCTATTCCATTCTCTCTCTCTCTCTCTCTCTCTCTCTCTCTCTCTCTCTCTCTCTCTCTCTCTCTCTCAGACAAGGAACAGCACATCAGACTATTTTCCTGTATCTTGAACTGTCCACTTTCTTGGTTCTCAATTTTCTCAGAAGGCCAAGAGTCTTCTTAGTATCTCAGTCGCAGTTTGTTACTCCTTCAAGATATAATGATTACAAAAATGTATGTTTTTTTATATCTTTTCAAATCCACTCATTCTTAAAGATCAGATTCAGAAATTTCATTGAGATGGCAGAGCAGGTGAGAAAAAGGTGGTCTGTCGTTTTGCTTCTGAAGAAGAAAAAAAACAAGAAAAGAGAATTAAGTGCTAATTTATGAGTGCACTAGAATGGCAATTATGAAAAAAAGTTTATAACAAAATAACATTTTAGATGAATACTGCACATTGATGAATTCAAGAGACTATAATGGTGTTCTCCAGTAGCAAATGTATTGATAATTTCCTCCCTCCTGGAGGTGAAGCCATTTGTAACTGATAGGAAGTCAGAAGGGAAATCCATAACAAAGAATTATGCTACTAGATGAATGGTCCAACTTTACAAGAAAGATATTTAACCCTATTCTTAAATAAGTATAATTTAAAATCCAAAGATAAAATAAGCCATTCTAAATAATGTTTTTTTTAATCCCACATTCCATGTTAAAGATGAATATTTGCCTCTTTTTGGCATTTCCCCATTGACAGAAACTCTTGATAAGTGATCACAGATACTTGTAATTTAATAAACACTAAGTAGTAAAATTTATATGGCCCCTATATCTTAGTTAGAGTACATGTAGTTGAATAATTACATTTTTTTTCAATAATAAAACTTCCAGATAACAACTTAGTTATATCCTTAATAGATAGATAATAGAATGCCATTTTGTGAGAAACCTCTTCTCTACTGACTTTACGGTCAGGTTCATGAAATCACCAAGAGTTGGATGACTGAATAGAGAATATATTACTTCATTCTTACATCTTTCTTGCATGAAATAGGGTTTACTAACCTCATTCCAACAATGTTGCATAAGATTATAAATGGTATTGGAAGCAAGTCTGGGTTTATACAATCGGAGGCCAGCACTGACTTCTTCTACCACCTCAGCATTTGTCCGATTCTCGTAAGGAGTTTTGCCTTCAGAGAATACCTCCCACATCAATACTCCTGAAATAAGGCAAGATACATAATTCATGAAGAATAGCATAATAACGTCCTCCATTCTGTCTTTCTCTCAAATAATGTTTTGATCCATTGCTTAAAATAGACATTTTTTCAGTGAGATTCACAATGTAATCCTATAGATAACTAGAGAAAATTTCATTAAGTTTAAAGGAAATTTCTCCTAAATTAAGATGTAAGGTTGCACATTGGTTAGTCATCCTATTGAAATAATAATAGCAGGCTCCAGATTGTCAACAGATTATGAGTTTGCTTTTGACTATATAGTCATATGTTGTTTGTTCACTGTCACTTACTATTACTTCACTCCCCCTCCTCCCTAATCCTGCTGTTCTGTGTATTGTGGCAGCAGAGGCAGGTGGGATGAGTGAAGAATGCCAGAAATGTATGTCAAGAGAATATAATCCTAACAGGGTCTTCTAAGGCATGGTGGTCATCACAGCTGCCTGCTAAAACAAGCAGACCTCTCTATTGGGCAGATAGAGGAAGATGCTAGAAGCAGATGATCAATTTAGTGACATCATTTCACACTGGCAGGAAAAGGCAATTATCAAACTACTTGTGCATTTCACCAAAAAATCACAAGGGTAAACATTATAATGTGAAAAACAATATAGTGCTGAATGATGGGCCCCTCAGGTCAAATGGCACTCAACACACTATTGAGGAAGAGCTGTGGATCTTTCAGGGTACTAGTGACTAAATTAAAGCCTTCAGGACGCTTCCATGGAAGAGAAGAAAATCTGAAGCTACAGAGATAGAATTACAATGGGAGCATAAAATGTAAGAAGCATAAACATAGAAAAGCTCCACATAGTGAAGAATCAAATGAATCGCTTACACACTGACATTTTATGCATCAGCAAATCAACACTTTCAGTCAGGAGACTATACTACAGCTAATCCTTCTTTAACAACTGACTTCTTTAGCAACTCTTTCAAATTACCACACTGATGAAAAATTAACTTTGGACAGTCCTTGCATTTACAATCTTTGCAGGTAATGTTCAAGTTCCAGGTTAAGCTAAAGTGGAAGCAGAAAGCCAACCAGTTTCCATGATATGATCTTGACCATATACCCAACATTTTCAAGAAGAACATTAGGAATCACTTTGAAGTCCCGCATCTCACCAATAAGGAACCATAGGAATTGTGGAATGAATTTGAAGATGCTGTTAAGAATGAATGTGAAAAGAAACTGCCAAAGACAAAGAAACAAAAGAAGAAGGAATGAAGAAAGAAAAAGAAAAGAAAGGAATCAAGCCAGTTGTCAGAATAAACAATGGAAATTGCCAAAAAGAGAAGAGAAGCTCAAACCAAGAAAGACAAAGATCTCAGGAAGAAACTTAACAAAGAGTTTCAGAAAACTATTAGAAGAGACAAGAAGCTACATTGCAACAATATCTATAACAGTGGTTCTCAACCTTTTTAATGCTGGGATCCCCAACCGGTCGAAAGTCGAGGACTAAACCGGTCGTAAGTCGAGGACTAAACCGGTCGTAAGTCGAGGACTACCCAACCGGTCGTAAGTCGAGGACTTTCCCTGCCCGGGAGTGCCGTGCATGTGTGGTTCCGCCCCCTGCGCCGGCCGAGGCGTAGCTGGCAAGTGGCAGAGACGGAGCAGGCCGACCACCAGCTGGCCCAGCCCAAGGGAGGTAAGGCACCCGCCGGAAAAGGGGGAAAAAATGGTGGACAGCCTTGCTTGGCGACCCCTGTGAAATGGTCGATCGACCCCAAATGGGGTCGCGACCCATAGGTTGAGAACCACTGATCTATAAAGACACTGTGTAAACAGGCATGAAAAAACAAGGAAAGTCTTCCCCCAAAAATCTCTGAATTTAAGAGTTTACAACTTGAAATGGTGTGATAAAAGACACCAATGGACAGACAGTAACTGATTCCAAAAAGGTCAAACAAAAATAGAAGGAGTATATTGAGATTCTGTACAATATAGATGTCAACATCCAAGATACTGAAGAAGATATTCCGTACTTACAAGACCCTCTCATGATAGAAGATGATGTTAAATCAGCACTCTCCTCCTCATCATTTGGAAGGCTATGGGAATTAATGGAATATTTATAGAATTTTGGCAAGCAACAGAAAAAGATGCGGTAAAGGTTCCAACCAAACTACACTAGCAAATCTAGACAACAACCTAGAGGTCAACAGATTGGCAGAGGTCAGTCTTTATATCAGTAAGAAAGAAATGTGCAAAATATTATAAATATTCCTTAACTTTATATCCTAACAAAACAATGCTTACATGGAAGAGGAGATGCCACATGCTCAATCTGGTTTTAGAAAAGGCTGAGGAATATAAGACATTACTGGATAATTGAGAAAGTCAAAGAATATCAACAAGAAGTCAGTATGAGTTTATATTTAATTTATGAGATTATAGAAAGGCCTTTCATTGTGCTGATCATGTCCAACTGCTGAATCTGTTTAAAAACTCTGAAAGATCCTATTGCCCTCATGCAAAAATTATAGAAAGATCAGGAAGCCACAGTGTTGGCACACAAGTTTCAGATTGGCAAAAGAGAGAGAAGGATGTGCACTCGCCCCTTATTTATGCAACTTATATGTTAAATACATATTAAGGGAAACTAGATTGGAAGAAGCTGAACATGAGTTAAAAGTGGAGGAATATCTGCATGATGCTGATGACACTATTTTGATAACTGAAAATGCAAATGATCTGCAAGTTCCAATAATGAAATAAAGGAATACAGTGAAAACAGGGGATTAAGATTATATATACAGATGGCCAAACTAATGACAACAGGTGCAATTAATAAGAAAGCTGCTGAAATGGTGGGATAACTTATGCCTCAGAGTAGCGCTTAGTAGAATAGAAATGAAGGCTTGGAAATGATATTCAGATGCTATTCTATATATACATACTTTTAGGTACTCTATACTACATAATCAGAATTGTGCAGGAAATATATTTTTCTCTATGACATTATATGAATCTGAAAACTGAACTTTGAAAATCCAAGACAGGAAGATTTCTGACAACTCTGATGTTGGGAAATACTTTTGAGAACCCCACAGATAGCCAAGACAACAAACAAATGAATCATTGAACAAATCAATTCCACAGTTCTCACTCAGGGCACAAATGAACAGGTTCAAATTGTCATATTTTTCAACATATTGTGCAAAGATCAAGCTCTTGGGAGAAGTCTATAATCTTGAGTCAATTGGAAGGAAAGAAAGAAAACGATAACCAAGGTGAATAGACTCAATCACAATGGAAATGAATGGCAATGGATTAAGTTGGGGACAGGTCATCCTGGAGAAAATAAATCACTATTACTGCTACTGCTATAATTTTAGAAAAATAAAATAAAGAATATCACGGTTAACTTGATTTTTATTCAATTGTCAGCATGGAAATTTTTTTAAACAAAAATCTTAATTGAAATAGAAAGTTCTTTAGATATTTCTTGAACAAACAGTCCCTGTATACCTATGATAAGAGACCCCAAATCCAGCCACCCATGCTAAGTAGCACTAGTTCTAACTAAAGGAATGTTTTTATCATTCAGGTATTGTAAATGTTTTTATATATTCCATACACGATTCCCTTTCAGCTGAATAAATTAAAATATTAATTGGTTTTGAGTTGTTCATTCATAGATATATGTTCATTTTCATTTCTGGATTATACTATTGATTTAACAACCCAGTAAAAATATGAAATGGACTGAGAAGGGTGAAGCAGAAAAGTCCCTTTTATGCCAATCATGTGATGTGGTGTGATAATAAACTACGGAAGGATCTCATGTTTTGTGGAATTTTTGTTGCTCTATCTTTACAAAATTCTAAAGATAAATATGGCTTTAAATACTTTACACTTTAAAAAAAGATATTCAAATATTTTTAGAGATCATCTAAGACAAAAACATGGTCAAATTTCTTGTCCTGTTAAGACAAACAATGAACAGCTTTTTAACTACAAGACCTTGAAGCA